CTATACAAATCTTGTTACTGGTGTTCCCTAAAGGGCCAGGCAGTAATTTAGATGCTGTTTAGTGTGTGAGATGTAGCAGAACCACAACGTACTCACTCTCTTGTCAGCACTTGACTGAGGAGGGGAGCAGACCCTCCAGCTACGTTTACCGCAGCAGCTGGGATACTGGAGTTTAATGAGGTGCTTTAGCAATGTGAAGATTTTCAGAAACATATACTCACGCCAGGAGGGCTTACCAGGATATTTTTTTGTAATTAAATGTAATTACATTTATACCCATAGTCAAGTTTTCATTGATAGATACAGGCAAATAAAAAGCAGCAAGCAAAAGTCAAATAATTAACTACATAAGCATTTTTCACTTTTACCTTTCTGGACTGTTTTGCTTTTCTTACCTCAATGGTTTAGTAAAAAGCAATGAGATGCTAGGTGATTGGACAATGTGTAGTTAGAAAGCTGGCAAAAGCAGAGTGAAATATTTTTTTATCTTACTTTGTCTTCTGGACGAAAGGAAATGTAGTTTTGATAGCAGAAAAAAGCAAAATAGCATTATGCCGGTCAATTTCTAAATCAGATTTCAATGAGCTTGTTTTACAAACACCAATAACAAATACAAACATTGGTGATCATACAAAACACCATGCAAACACCAGTGAAGCAAGCTGATAGATTTAAAAATACTACTATTTTACTGATGAAGAAATAAAAATGTGAAATGACTGAAAACAAATTTTCAGAAAAGTTCAGGTTTGCTTGCCACTAAGTGGCAGGAGAATGAAGAATTATTTGGAAAATTATCTACTTCTTTTCTTAGTTCCTAAAATTGTGTGGGTCTGTGCCATGTAAACATAAGTTTCTGAAACGTATGATCTGCCTTGATGCATGACTAGCACACAGCAAGGCAGGGGTTACCCACAGTGTTACCCACTGCCCAAGCACACAAGCATCCTCCAACCCTGCAGCAGGAGCAGAGAACCACACTTCTCTTCATCTCAGGAGATGTCTAAGTGGTGGAGCCAGAGCCAGGAAAATTATTTTCCTTTTCTAACTGTATGTTATCATCATACATATTGATCAGAAGTCAGCAATTGCTTGATTTCTTTCACATTTTTTGAGAAAGCTTTCGTCATGGACGTGGTACTGTTTGGCCATGGAGGTATTTCATCAAAACTAATAAAATGGAATGAAATTAAACTGGCTGAACTATTTCATAGCAGCAGCAGCATCTGATTTGTCTCTAGCTTGGGGTGTCCTGCACTGAAGTTTGCATGTGAAAGGCTGGATCCTGCTTCTACTCATGTACTTTGCTTTCTCCAGCGGCACTGTTTGTACAGGGGCAGGGGCAGGATTATAAGAAGGCTCCAGACTGACAGTGACACTATGTCCTTCAAGTTTCTATTCAGGCTCATTTCTTTGAGATTCAAACCATTCTTTTTTGTATTACTCTCTAACTAAAACCTGTTATAGGCACGCAGCTCATGGGCTGTTTCCACTATCTGAGCAATTAAGGACTGTTGTGTTTATTATTTTTAAGGGAAAATTTAGACACTATGACAAAAACTAACCAAATCCAAAGCCCTGTCAGCCTCCTGTGATTTTTATCTGAAACTTCTCAGCTTTGTTTTCCCAAGGAAAATTCCACACTCTCTACATGAAGCTTTCTCCAACAATTATACCAATCTCTTACTGAGTTTCTTTTGTGTAAAAGCCAGCCTCTCTGACCTGTTCTGTTCTTCCAGTGCCTGACTGAAACCCTGCAGAAAAGGCTTTTATTCGCTTTTGCCAAGGCGAAAGAAAGCAGGGTGCTTAGCTGGATGAGATAAGCCTTTGCTAGATGACTCCACTGCAGAGCCCATGGGTGATATCAAAGGCCAAGTCTTTTAAATTAGGTCACCTCTTGTCCTGCATAGCTGCTCCAAGTGCATTAACATTATCTAGTGGGAGAAGAGAGGCAGATGAATTTTGATCTTACTCTAAAGCAACCATAAGGCTCCCCCCAGTGTGGTCATGCTATTTGCATAACAGTGGAGATTCACAGGAAAAGGGATGGGCAATGTCAAGTGCTGGTCATTCTGGCTATAGCCAGCATCCTTCCACTTGGTTCGTTTCTGACCACATATAATGACAGCTTTGGGGTAGCTCAGCCCATTATGTCAGCTTGGCTGGGTGGATGTGCTCATAAACATTCAAAGAGCTCTGCTAATAAGAGCATTTGGGAGAAAAATCCTTTGGTGTTTCTTCTTCCATATTTCGGCAATATAGCCAGGCCAAATCTTGCAGGTTTCCCTGTAAGTGGATGAGTTTTCACCCTGGGTAAAGACTAAAACTTAAAGCTGTAATATTGAAATTGGCTCTGTGCAGGTAGGTGGACTTTCCGAAGTGTCTCTCCGTAAAGAAATAAGTCTTCATCTCACAAGGTCTCCATACATATCTGGACTGATGGAAATATTCTTTGGTCTGAACCTTTCATTGGTGAACATGGACCATTTCTCTTCCTGAGGACACTGACTTAAATAAAAATAAACCTTATTTATTTTGCCAGTGGCTGCTCCAGTCTCCATGAGGTAAGGGTCACACTAGGCTCATATGTTATTTACCCAGCACAAGGGAAAGTCCCCAACACCTTTTTCCTCAGCGCAGATGTAAAACACCTCTAACCAAAGCTCCAATCTTATTTTTATGTACCTTGACTTTCCAGGGATTTGAGTATGTACAAATCTGTTCTCAGCTCTTCATGTGATTTCTGTTATACCACTTTAAAATGAAAACACAAAAGCTGTCAAGAAATTACTTGAGTAATTAGATTCCTGTTAGCTAATTAGAGCAGCCAAGAATAAGTTAAACTGGAAAAATACCGTATGTATATTTGGAATATAATACAGCTGTACGGTGTCCTGTGAGCAATGTTATGGTCTGTGAGGGAGGAAAATGGAGCATCATTAAAAAGTTTCTTTCCCTCCCAGCCCCAAAAAGAGAGCAAACCTTTAGGGAGAAGTTATCTACTAAGAGTTTGGGGTTTGTTTCATATATGAGAGAAATAACTGATCACTTGAATTCACATTCTCTGTGACAGAATTGGCTAATTATAAACACGGTGAGAAAGTTTCTTAGTCTATGTAACTATGATTTTTTTGTGAGCAGTATCCTGACTGCACAGTAGTCAAGGGGAACTAAAGAATGTTGAGAAAAGAATGATTTCATTTTCTCCTCTGAATCAAGTGATATCACAATCTGAGATTTCTGATTTAGTTTCTGATTATTTCCTGACCTTTCTGAAGAGGAATTTATGCTCAGAGTTCAGTGAAGAAATTCAGCTTCTAATTGTCAATCTGGGCAATTTAGTGTTTTAGGAAGGAATAGGACATAACTTACTTTTCATTGTTCTCTGCTGAAAGTTTCTGATTTATTCAAATTTCAGCCTCCAAACTAAATCTAGGATCCTGAGCTAAACAAAAAAATAGTGTTGAATCATTGAAGTCTGTGTCTGTTTGATATACAACTAATAAGAAAGATTGCAAGCACATAAATAATCACCCATTTAGCCAGCCTAACTTCATACACCAAAGTGCTTTACAAAGGAGAATAGACACTGCTATATTTACCAAAGTTCATACAAATGGAATTGGGCAGGAATTGAGCTCCTGATTGTCCTGTTTAATTCTGTATCTGTGGGACCATGCTTTAATAATCAGCACAGTTTTCAACCACAGTTTTTAACCTTGAATATGTCATTTGAATGTCTTTCATATAATGGTAATGGAAAATACATACATTGAAAGTAAGTCAATTAATGTTTGTAAAATGCACAGATAAAACAGTAAAGAATACAATAAAAAATGCAATCAGTCTGCCTGGACTGATTCTTCTCCTCACAAGCAGCACACCACAAGCAGCCAATAGCTAGGAAATAAGTTAAATGAAGTGATATTACATAGACCTAATTCTTCCCTCAGACCTACATTTACAGATCTGCCACACCTCAGTCAAAATTGCAGTGGTATCTGCAAGTGGAAAATTTTAGAAGGGGCGTTGGTACGCTGAGAGATTGATGTCTCTGTTCTTAATGGTATTTAATTTTAGAGCTCCAAAATACTGTGAACCAAAGGTCCTATGATCTTTGTCAAATATTTGGGAAATCATCAGAAGACAGCCGCTTTCAGACCATTAACTGCATCAAGACAGCAGCAGACAAATAATTTAATCTCATGCACAAATTGGTTAAGGGCAATGATTAGGAAGATCCTTGACCCTCCTCTGCTTCATACAATTTTACGTAGTTGTTCAGAGGTGTTCTCAAGGGATGTTAATTTTCATTAGAAATCTCTAGTATTGACCATTTCTGCCATGCCTATAGTCCAAGGCAAATTAAGGCAATAAAGCCAAGCAGTACCAGGAAATATTTCACAGACATTTCTGACACTACACCAGTGTCAGACATGTCATGACACTTTTAAGATGAAAGATTAGACTTTGTTAAGCTTTGATTTACTAATTTTACATATTACTGCTAGATGCTCTTCAGTGCCAGTATTGATGTATTAATAACCTAACTGAGGTGAAGTTCTTATTGATTATTATTTGACTCCAGTAGAACCCTTTGTGAGTTTGCTGCACACCATTTGTCAACCAAGCCTTTTCCAAGCATACAAGAAAGTGCAATCCCTGGGCAAAGCAGCCACATATCCCAACAGCCACTGTTGAGCACAGGACCCTGCTGCGAGCCTGGCCAAAGGACCTGCAACTAAAGGCACTCCATCGCTTGCTGTAAATTCACAGACAAAAAATGGGAGTTAAGTGCTTTAGAGGCAGTGCTTATGTCTAAATGCTAATCAGGGCTTCTGGTTTTCTGAGACACACAAAAGAGAAAGAGAAGCTGTAAATCAGGAGGGTAATTTCTTATTTACAATAGCGCTCTAGTGTTCACGGCAGAGCCATAAGGTTTAGCAATGAGAAAGGCTTTTGTACTAACTTTTCTCTTTCCATATCTTTTGCTCTGCTAGAAAAAGATGAGAAGAGAACAAATGTCTCGCAGGCAGAGGTAAGTGAAATTTATTTTTTTAAAAATACATTTATTGCTAAAATATTGTTAAAATGCCTTTGAAACTCACTGATTTATCCAAGTTAAAGTTTTATTTACATTGTCACACCATCTTCAGTAACACAACCCTTTAAGACCTAGCACTTTCAAACTAGAGCTGTGTAAAGCTGTGTTGCATCTCAGCTCTGCCAGCTCACCCTTCATCCTGTAGCAGGGAACTGAGAGAGGTAAGTTTCCCCTCTGTCTTGCTGCCATGCCCTGGCATATCATAGCAAATCCAGCCCAAGGTGACCCTACCAGGTCACCTCATCCAGCATTGCTTTGAGTCTGCAGATCACTGCTGGTCTACAGAAGCATTGCAAACTCCTCTCTCCTCTTCCCATCATTTGACCAGACCACAGCAGGCAGCACACTGATGTTGTTTGCAGAACAGTTAAGAGTCAGCTCCTCCGATCTCATTTTCTAAACTCCCCTTGTGCAGCTCCTGCAATCCCCTGATCTCTTTCTCCTTCACCCATTGCTCAGAGAAGCAGGCAGTGCTTTAAATAGCAGGGGGAGGTATTGATTGGTTCAAATTTGGACTCAAATACAATCTTATAAAGATTTACTGGGGAGAGGATCAACAACCTATCCCACAGTGTTTATAAATAGCTTTCTCTTTCAAAAGAAGACAATATTTTATTTATAAATGTTATCATTCCATCCATTGTGATAAGGTAAGGTAATAGGATTGGCCATACCTTCTTAAGAGCTGTCTCAAACGTTCCTTGAAGAAATAGATCTGATTAAAATTCACAGACTATATACCAGTCAAAGTACTCAGGGAAAAAGGCATTTTTAACAAGTATTTGGGAAAAGACAACATCGTTATGACCAAATGCAACTAGAAATTGACTAGATAAGAAAAAATAAAGCCTGCTTACATACAGCTTTTTTTTAACCTTTTTATTAGGAATGTGATATGTTGTTTATGTTTTCAAAAGCTATCTATGTCTGTGACTTCATATATCTTATTATCCTTTGCATATGGACATATTTCACATTGGTATAATATGGATGCCAATTTAACTGCTTTCATTTTGCAAAAATTGATTTGCTTTATCACTGGAATGTATTCCAGTTAGTTTTTGCTAACTATACATTGGTATAATTATGCTGCTGTTACTCTATGTGTAGTTTGGTTACCATTATTTTGGAATAATTTATCTTTTATGTGTAGATGTGATTTTGGGGACATAAAAAGTTTAACTGTGTCTAAATATATTGCTTAAATCAGGCCCAGTTAAAATTTGAGTGATTGATTGCTGAAATTATTATTTTAGGAGTAATAGAACATATTGAAAAAGTGCAGGGGGAGGGATTTTCCATGTATTTATGTAAAAATTGATATATTCATAATTTCAGTAGTACCTTACCTGTACCTATAATCATTCATTACACTGTATTTAATTGGAATATTTGTTAATGTACATCTTGCAACTATTTTAATATATGTAAACATTTATTTACCTTTTTAGAAACAGTTATGCAGACTGTTAAAAACACAGGCTATCTTAGTTTTATGCTTAACAATATTTTATGCTTAACAATTTTTTTAGAGTGAAGGGTAATTTTCAGAAGTATTGGATCTGTTTTGCATGGGAACCATAAAGATTGTCCATTAAACACATATTTTGTCTATCTAATCGTAGTTTTCCCTGTATTCATGAAAGCCCGGGAGCTGGTGTCAGATTTATATAATATAATTTCCTTAGAAACTTCTCAGGTTGCTGTGTGCACCCTCTGAAAGCGTGGAGCAAGACCCAGAGCTGCCACGCCAGAGCACTCTCCCCGTGCCCGCCTCTCACCGCCTCTCTCTGTGTTTTGTCCCCCCAGTCGCAGAGCGGCTCTCCCAAGCAAAGGAAGCAGAGCGTCTTCACCCCGCCTGCCCTCAAAGGTACTGTGCAGGTGCTGTCTCTGCCCGGGTGGGCCAGGGCCTGAGACATGGCTCTGTCCACCCACCACGCAGCTGTGGGAGGGTCATGCTCAGCCTCACTGCTTGCACACTGCAAAGGGACTATCTAGCATTGACCATCTGCCTGATGCTATTTATCCTCACCACAGAATCTTGCAGCAGTGGCAAATTTATTTATTTTTTTAAGCTTCTTTTTTTGCAAAACCTTGATACTTTTGTTAGTTTGATGCAACAGGTAACTCCATGGCAAACATAGAAGAGAACTCCTTGAATACATGTTTTATCAGCGCTGGACCCATACAGCTCTCTGTTTCTTATTTAAACCACTCCTGTACGTATTGCCCTGTGAAAAGGAGAATAGCCAGATTTGTGGGTTGGGTATCTGATCATAGGAAGTGTGAAGCCTTTATTGTGAAGACAATGGGAATTGAGAAATCTCTGTAAATGTTTAAAGGGCTTTCAGGAATTAAAATAAAAGCAGCAGAAACATTAGCTGGGATCAAAACTGCTGCATTCAGGCCTTGTTTCTCAAAACACTCTGAACAGAGTTTGACTTGATGGCACTTGCAGTGAAGCAAGAACTATAGTGATTCACCTGCACTTCAGACTGACACTTGTCAGTACAGGCTGCAGACCAAAGGCTATCCTGCCAGCTGCCTCCTGATAGATAATTAATATCCTTAATTTCCATTCCTTTTGCTGAACACAATTTATTACCTGGCAAAAATGTAGGATATCTGATTTGTTGTGTGAAACACTACCACTGTCATTAGGCAATTTATCATATCAACCAGATTGACGTATCTCATGCTGTAGCTTCAGTACTCTAGCACTCGTCTTGGCAACAATAAAAGCATCATTTAGGCGCTGCAGAGACTTGCTATCGGTTTGTCAAAATGGGTTGAAGTTTGTGTACTGGATATTAGAAATAATATTATTATAGTTAATTATATTAATTTATGGAAGGAAGAAGCTTTGCATGGGTAGCAATAATACCTATTGATCTCACTGCTCTTTATTTTGCTGTACAAGCCCAAACTAAATACTGTGCAAATGAAGTGCTCTGTGAAACAGGTCCTTGTATCTTATCTCAAGGACTGTAGGCTACTGAGTCTTACCTTTAATACCCTGCTGAGATCTGGGGAAGTACCTGGCATGGTTTGCTTCTACATCAACCTAATTCCCTGGGAACAGTAGGAGTGTAAGTGATTCAAGGTAGGTCACAACTAACTTTGAAAAATGTTGTAAACAGAACAAAGCAAAGCACAAAAAGCCTCTCCTCAATACCCTAAACTACACAGTGTTCCCAGGTGCACAGGTGGATACCTGGAAGTTGATAACCCTTCCTGTAAACAGGATGGATTGCTCCAGATTTACCATCATCATAAATATTATCCTTTTTATTTAAAACTGACTTGAATTAGAAAATTCATTATTCCTTCCTCTACATTGTTGTGAAAACGTGAATGTTATTTTGTTTAGACTAAGACATTAGGAGGCAAACATGTAGCAATGTGAAATACACAATGATATGAAAGCTTTAGTGAGAAATATAGAGTTTTTGTAATAATTCTAGTTTTACAGCAGTAGAAGATAGCAATATTATGCAGTATTTTCCAAATAACAGGCTTCATAATTACACACTATTCCCACAGCTTTGCATATGTTTATTTCCTGTGGGCTATTTCTCCCTCAGTATATTCACAATATGGTTTTCCATATACAGTAAAGAATGAGATTCTGCATACTGAACCTCTCTCCTTTACACCCTCTTGGGCTGCTCTGCATCTTCTGGGGCTGGTATTAATGGAGAGTGGGATTGACTGTAATCACACACCTTACATTCAAAGAGCAAGATAATAAATCACCATGAAACAGAACTTGTAATGGAAAAGAGTGACAAACTTCTTCATCGGTTACATTTCTCTGGCTTTTCAGTAGGTTTTAGCTGCTGTGGATTCAAAGTTCCCAAAAATATGCCAAGCTCTTGGGTGGGTGCAGAGCCTGGCAGCTGAGACAGCAGCCGTGTGCAGAGAGGGGTGGGAGAGCCAAGGCATGAGCTTTGCTCTATGCCTGCAGCAGGGAGAAACTGTGAGGAGACTCATGCTTCAGCCTGATTATTATTTCTTCTTTGAATTGAAAACATTTTTGCTATGCTTCTTGCAAATCCTTGGAATGATTACTAAACTGTGTGAGGGAAGAGTTGCTGGTTTCATGGATTCATGGCTAGACAAGAAAGAGAAAGTAAGAGTAAATGAACCTGTGTGTTGTAATTACAAACAAAACAGGAATTTGTTAACATGGTTAAAAGGATCAGAAACAACATCAGAAAATAGTGATGACTAGTTACAGTACTAAGACTATGGTACATGTTACATGGAATATGCAAATACATGAAAGCATGTGAAAAAAAAATAAAATGCAGTGTTGTTGATGTTCTACATCATGGTAAATACATGGAGATGTCCTGGTTTTTGCTAGGATGGGGTTAATTTTCTTCTTATAGCTAGAAAGCACTGTGTTTTGGTTTCGGTGAGGATTGTTATGAGAACAATCTTGATAACTAAAAGGACACTGTGCTTGGGCAGTTTCCAAGAACAGAGGACTGGAAGGGGGAGTGGAGAAGAAAAGTGTAGTAGCTAGTAAAACCCAGAATTGACAGTTGGATATGCCAATAAGATATTCTATATGATATTACACCATGTTTAGTTTATTAACTGGGGCTGACTGGAAAGGGGGAGATTCTCTTGGGAATTGCTCAGGCATCACTCAGGCTCATTTTTAATGGGATTGTGATTTCGGTTTTGGGGTTCCTTTTCGCTCTTCTGGGATCATTATCAGCAGGTGGTGAGCAATTTTACTGTGCATATATACATATATATATATATGTAGTTGTTATCATTATTACTCTTATTCTTATTATTTTAATTTTATTTTTACTCTAATTATTAAATTGTTCTTATCTCAACCTACAAGTCTCCTTACCTTTCCCCCTCCAATTCTCTCCCCGATTCCCTGTGTGGAGGGGAAGGGGGCAGGGGGAGGGAGGGGAGGCTGCCAGCTAAGTTAAACTATCAGCTTCTTAGTTAGATGTGGGCATATTTTTACCCTCTGCCATAGTAGTCACCTAAACTGAAAGACAGTGTTATTATCTGTCTAAGATTGCCCCCAAATATTTTGGCTCCATCCTTACAACACCTTGCTGCAGCTTGAGGCAGGTCTGTATTGCTGCAGCAAGCTGTAGCAAACCCATGTGTCTGCAGAGCCACTGTCACGTTATGGTGCAACCGGCTGGTTGTTATTACTGTATATTTGTGGGTACTTTGGCTTCCACTTTTATTTTCCTAAACAAAAATGCACCAGAGTCCCTACAGACAGAGAAAATAGCTGACTCATCTCAGAGCATTGTTCTTTTTACTGGAATACTGTGTGCTGGAAAAATCAATGTGAGAGCTATTGATTTAAGTGGTAATCTGGAGAGTGCATCAGACAGCAAACCAGATAACAGCTCAGTGCAGTGTTCTTGTTAGTATTATATTACCAAACCTAATGGATGTCAAAGAGGTTTTCCATTTTGCTTTCAAAAATATTTATTTTTCTAACCCTGCTACACTAGTGTGTGTTAATCCCATGCTCTTATATAGCATGCAATGTTGGCAAAAATCAGTATGTGAAGATTGCACCAAATTAAACCATCATATTTTCAGTATGTTGTGATTTACCTCTTGTCACATTTTTTTCTAGGTGTAGAAGCACTCTTAACTTTTGATTCATCACCTCTATTTCCCCTGTTTGTGTCACTTTTTTTCTTTTATTACTCTTGGGCATTTATGTCTGAATTTCAAACTCTCTTATTCTTTTATAACTTCCAATGCTCTAATACACTAATCTTGAATCTCCACCAGTTCCTTTCATTTTAAGCTCTTCTTCATGTGCAAAGATTGATTTGAACCTTCTTATGAGAAACACCGTAAAAACAACCAGAGGAAGGTTTCTCAATTTGAAGGGTCACCAGTTTTACCTAGGGCAATCTTTTCCAGTCAATTCTTATTGCATAAATCCTGTTTCTTTTATTTACTAATCTGCTTCTCATTCTATATGAGAAAACCAAGAAGAATCTTTTGGTCCTTTTCCTCCATATTAAAGAAGACTTCCAACTGTTTTAGCACAAATACACATCCATCTATCCACCCATCCACAAATAACATCTTTAGAGAGATCTTCATTATTGTGGTCAGTGGGTTAGAGATGACCCTGGAAGTCTTGCTGGATTCTCACCCTTTTCCCCTCACACTCGTCAAAGAAGTCTGAAATGGGACAATATCCCTCCCAGGTAGAGAGGGACCAAGTGGAAGGCAGCTTAGATTGCCAAAGCATAATCAGATTGCATAAGCAGATAATGGTGCTTCCCTGGCATGTCACTACCACTTGAAAATCAAAAGAGAACATTTGAATCTCAGAGCTACAGCTGCAATTTTCCATCCCAAGGCATGCTTTGTATCGAAGCAGGTTTCCTTTTACCTGGATAGTCACATTTTTTTTTGGTATCTCAGCTCATCCTTGAAAGGAAATGCAGACTGAAGTGATAGGAAACAAGGTTTACAAAGACAAACAGAAGAGAGCTTGAGCTGTTCTCAAACCTGTGTTGCTCCATAGAGCTCCCAAGTCTCCACATTATCTATCAGCTATTGCTATTAACACTAGCAGCTATTTAAATACCATCAAGGTCTCCCCCATGAAGGAAGTGCACATTCTGGAGTGGTTTGAGGGTTTGATTAACAGTGAGTCTACTGATGTGGGTGTGCTAGAGGTCAGGGAAACAGGAAACTTTAGCTCATCCTAGTTCACCCAGCAGCAGTCTATTTAGATCAGCATCAAGATCCTACTAATTTCAGTGAGCTTTAAAGAAAGTTCTTGCAGCTTTCTGTGTTTGCTGGACCACCTTTGCAATTAGCTGCCATCAAATCATAATTAAAATCTTT